CAGTTCTCCCATGCTGGCTGAGGAATTCTGGGACTTGAAGTCCAGGAGTCATGAAGGGGGCCACAGTTCTCCCATGCTGGCTGAGGAATTCTGGGACTTGAAGTCCAGGAGTCATGAAGGGGCCATAGTTCCCCCATGCTGGCTGAGGAATTCTGGGAGTTGAAGTCCGCAAGTCATGAAGGGGCCATAGTTCCCCCATGCTGGCTGAGGAATTCTGGGAGTTCAAGTCCGCAAGTCATGAAGGGGGCCACAGTTCTCCCATGCTGGCTCAGGAATTCTGGGAGTTGAAGTCCACGAGTCATAAAAGAGCCAAGGTGGCCTACCCCTGGGCTGGGAGAAGGGATGGTGGGTGGGCTTCAACTCCCCGAAGGCCTAGAAAGTGGGCGGACTTCCATCCCCAGAATTCTCCAGCCATCATGGCTGACTGGGGGATTCTGGGAGTTGAAGTCCAGCCCCTTTCAAGAGGCTTGAGATTGAAAGACGCTTCTCTAGGGTGACTCAATCGCTGTTTTTCTCCTGGGGAAAAAATCACCCTTGTTAACTGCAGTCTGTTTTTCTTATGGTCATCTCAGTTGACACAAATGACCCATTTTGTTTTGTTTTCTTTTATTTCTTTTTTTTATTTTTATTTTTATTTATTGTTTTTATTTTACTAATTTTTTGTTTTGTTTTGCTTATTTTTTATTTTATTTTGATTTTAACTTTTATTTATTATTTTTTTACTTTGTTTTCTTTTAATTTCTTTTTTTTCTTTTTTATTTTATTTTGCTTATTTTTAATTTTATTTTTTTAATTTCATTTTAGCTTCTATTTATTATTTTTCTTTTACTTTGCTCTGTTTTAATTTCTTTTTATTTTACTTATTTTTTATTTTACTTTATTTTGATTATTTTTTATTTCATTTTATTTTTATTTCATTTTAACTTATTTATTTTTGTTTTACCTTGCTTTACTTTAATTTCTTTTTATTTTACTTATTTTTTATTTTACTTTATTTTGATTATTTTTTATTTCATTTTAACTTTTATTTATTATTTTGTTTTATTTTGCTTTATTTTAATTTCTTTTTATTTTACTTACTCTTTATTTTATTTTATTTTGCTTGTTTTTCATTTTACTTTTTATTTCATTTTAACGTATTTATTATTTTTGCTTTACTTTGCTTTATTTTAATTTCTTTTTATTTTACTTCTTTTTTATTTTATTTTGCTTATTTTTTATTTTATTTTTTATTTCATTTTAACTTTTATTTATTATTTTTGTTTTGCTTTGCTTTATTTTAATTTCTTTTTATTTTATTGCTTATTTTTTATTTCATTTTATTTTTTATTTCATTTTAATTTTTATTTCACTTTGCTTTATTTTATTTATTTAAATTTCTTTTTATTTTACTTCTTTTTATTTTATGTATATTTATTTTCTTATATTACTATGCGGGCTGGGGAATTCTGGGAGTTGAAGTCCACACGTCTTAAACTTGGCAAGCTTCAGAAACATTGCTATAAAATAAATTTCTCCAGGGCTAATCTTCGCACTAACATAGGCTACAATAATTATATAATTCCTGCACTGATGCCTCTTTTCCTAATAAACACGTTGAATAAACACGTCCTTTTTCTGATTTTTATTTTTATTTTTTTTAAACCCAGGGATTGCGAGAGCCGGCCCCATTTTCCGATGAGCTGGAAGTGGACTACAGCAAGCCTTACACACGAGTCACGTTTGAAGAGGCAATGAGAGGAACACCCTGTAAGTGTTCGATCTGTAAGCCGAAAACCATCCATTCGAGGTCCTCGATTTACGACGCTGACCAAAGCAGCTTACGACCGTTTTTCGCCCTGACCGTTGCAGCACGTTCAAAAGTTTGACACGCTTGGCAACCAATTCACATTTCTCACCGTCTGTTTGCCCCCTTTTCCTGGCCATGGTCATTAAGTGAATCACTGCAGCGGTTCAGTTAGTAACACGGTTGTTAAGTGGATCCGGCTTCCCCCATGGACTTGGCTTGTCAGACGGTCGCAAAAGGGGATCATGTGACCCCCCCCCCAGGACATGGCGACCGTCCTACATACGAGTCGGTTGCCAAGCGTCCAACTTTTGATCACGTGACCCCGACGGTCGCAAGTGTGAAAAAAAAGCGTCCTAAGTCACATCTTTCGGCGCCGTCGTAACTTGGAACGGTCGCTAAACGAAAGATTGCAAGTCCGATGGCATCCGCTTAACGACTCCAGCGGCCACTTAACAACCTGAAAAAAAAGATGGCGTCAATCAGGTTGGTTACCTTACAAGCGTCCTAACTTAACGACCTAACCGGCAGGCTCCATTACGGTCGTAAGCTGAGGACCGCCTGTGTGCCAGCCGAAGGCTCTTCTAACCTACGTAAACCTTTGCAAACTGAGAAGGGACGTCGTAGTAGAGATTCAAAAGCCTTTCGGTTTTGGCAGCTGTTAGAGAAGCTTTCTGGCCGCTGAGAGTTGAGGAGGCAGGGAAAGTAACTCCGGCCCAGCAGGGA